AAATTCTATTGAAAAATCGAGTAAATGCGATATTTCGAGGTTTTTCATACGATCAATCAATGTCATACATAAATATATCAAGGTTTACAATCATTAATATGAAGGTAGTATGACAAATTTCATAGAAATTCTAATGAGTTATTTTGTTATATGTCATATCAATACAAAGATTAAGTATCTAATCGTAATCTTAATTTTTTTTCAGGTATGCTAATTGCAAGTATTAGTCGACGTTGCGTTTTAAGATTAAAAGAATATTCTGATAAGAAAAATAGCGCTGGACATCGACCACGTGCTGTATCGACCGCATCAAGTTTTCAAATTTATCGTGACAATGTCAATCCTAATAATAATGTTACTACTCCGCTTGTTTCAAAAATGGATACGAATAATCTAGAAGAATTAAATACTAAATCAGTTGAAGTCATTGAAGATCATTCATTACTTGGACGTTTACTTAGTTGTAAACCATGTCGACAAGTTACTGACAATCAAAAACATCAACTTGTAAATATATATATAAATTCGTTATTCTTTTTTAATTAATTATTCAAATCTATTTTTAATAGGAATTATCTAAACGGAATTGGGAAGATAGTGAAGCTAATATCTATTGGAAATATAAAGCAAAAGAATTTTATGCTAAAACACAAGAAGCGGATAAAGTACAAGAAAAACTCGATGGTCTTACTAATAAGTAAAAATAAATAATAGAATATTTTTTCTGTATTAATATATTTACTTTAGTGTAACAAGTGTACAAAAAGATATGGATGTCCAACGAAAATCATTAAGACAAATAAATGATCGTGTCGTTTCATTAGAAAAAATAATGATTGATTCACATATATTACTTGAAAAAATTCGTTCAACTATTCAACAAGAAGATAAATCGTTACCTGAAAGTCAAAAATTCATTCATATTTTATCAAGAGAATCACCTTATACTTATACAAATGAAGCACGATTTCCAGTTACAGAAAGATATATTTCATGGAAGGTTGTTTAACTTTACGATTTTATTTTGTAAATAAATTTTCATTTTAGATTCCATTTGATTTATATGATCCAACAATAATTGTTTTACCAAAAGACCATCAATGTTTTCGAGATGATGAGCGACCATTTGTTGAACCTAATATGTAAATTTAAATTTTATGCATAAATATATAAAAAAAATATATTATTTAGATTAAAATTACATTCAGGTGATGATGAGGAATCTGATGTAGCTGTTGATACATTAGTTACACCAACAACTCCAACTGTTCCATCAGGTACATTTGGTGCTATTGAACCTGGAGTATCAATAATACCAAGTGATTTTATTATTCCATTCTTAGCAGATAAATGGAATCAAATTGTTGAAATAGAATTACCTGATGGAAAAAAGGTTTTTGAAAAATAATATTTGTTTTTTTAAAATTTTTCTAATTGAAATTTTGTTTTTAGATGATTGTTGATCGAAAAACTTGGATAACAAATCCTGGAGATAAAATTGCAATAATGTATAATTTAGATACTCAATTATTATTACCATTAAATCCAATGGGTCGAACAGGTGTACGTGGTCGTGGTGCTTTAATGCGATGGGGACCCAATAAATCTATTATGGCTATAATAACACGATGGAAAAAACATCGTGGACAATTTGCTGTTATTGATGGACAAAGAATATTAGAAGCTTTAGTATTTAAAGATAAACTTACTAATGATTGGAAATTACCTGGAGTAAAATATTTTTGTTTTTTTTTTCAAAATTTAAATAGTTTTAATTTTGAATTTTTTAGGGAAAAATTTTAGGTATTGAAACTCCTTATGGTGCTGTATGTCGTAGTTTTAATAAACTTGCTCTACAAGATGATGATTCGGAACATAGTTTATCATTACAAGAATCTGATATGATTGATGTATAATATTAAAATTTCTATATTTAATTAATATCATATTTATTTATCTAGCATTTCGAATCATTTGCTCGTTCGTCTACTAGTTCTGATGAACAAACTGGATTTGAAAAGCATATGGTCTATCAAGGTTTATTAATGACAAAATTTACTATTATTTCATTTATATATTTTATTTTTAGGATATATTGATGATGTACGCAATACAGACAATTCTTGGGTAGAAGCAGAAATATGGAATTTTCATTATGGTTCGGCAATATCATTTCCTAATCTACGTACAGATGTATGTCTAAGATTTGAAATGAAAAAGAATAACTTTTAAATTTGCTCTTCTTTTTTGTTTCTTCTAGGGTATGGCATTATGGAAAGACGTGACGTATAATTCTCGAGGTTTTCTAATGCAAACATCAATATTACGTGAAATAGCTCGAATTCATGATGCTTATTTTGAGTAAATTCTAATAAAATCTTAATGTGATATTTCGCAATTAGCATTCATTTATTCCATAAAGAAGAAAAAAATCGTATGCATGAATGTATACTTTATCTTGCTCTTTATTGTATTTACGTTATTGTTTTGCTTTTATTTTTATTTCATTTTCTTTTTTCTTTTCTTTTTTTGTATCAGTATGATAATGCTGATTTTCATTTGAGCTTAACAAACTTAGACATCTATTTTTATTTCTATATATTTGTTAAGATCTATACGAATAGAGATTTAGCTATATAAATTTTTAATAAATTATTAATATATTTCTTTAGAAAATTCAAATAAGGATATTAAAAAACAATAGATTTCTTTTTTTCGTTTTGACGAAGAAGAACTTATAGTACCTGAATTTAACTAATTGACGATCGATTTAGAAAAAACTTGATAAATCAGTGTTTGAACATCTATTGAAAAGAAATACTCTATTTTTTTTGTTATAATTTATTTATCTATACATACATAATTATCCAAAGAGTTTATTCTTATTTTTTGTATTCGAATTTTGTTCATTATTGTATTGTACTTTTTCTCAAATACAAAATTAATATGAATTCAAATTGTATCGTTTTATTAATCATATAAAATTAGATTCAATCTTGTAATAGCTATAGAATTAAATCTATGAATGAATCTCATTTTATATACGAATTTGAATATGATATAAACATAAGTCTTTGAAAAAAAAGTATTGTCTACATTAAGCTATTAAATATGCCAGACCATTAAGGTCATAAACAACTGTATTTGTCATCTCATATAAATTCTTTTCAAATATCTTTTGTTCCTCCTACTCAAATACAGTGACGTCATAACTTTTCTGTTCTCTTTTGATCTTTTATTTTTTGACGATATTCTCATATTGCTCTTGAATTTGCAGAGAATATCATTTCTTTATAACATTTTTATAAATAAAACTAAACAAATAGAATTCTATGGAAATAACGAGTCCTATAATTTGTATCCTAATGATGACAACAGTAAAAGTGACTTCGATGAACTTGAACTTTCTGATGAAGATTTGGATATATATATATGCAGATGAGTTGAATTCAATGAAAACAAATTCGACCTTCGAAGGATTAGACTAATAGTACAGATTTTAAAAGTAAAACTTCGAACGTATAATAAACTAAGATTGATAAAAACAGATTTTTCTATAAAATTAAAACGAGTGATATACGATCATCCAAATCTACTACAGCTTAATTATCTAAAAAAACAATTGATATAAATTCAAATTTGATCGCGTATTCATTTGACTTTTTGAGAATCTATATAATTAGAGGTGTAAGTCGATAGGCAGCGGCGGTTGGAAAATTTATAAAAAAAACATTTTTTTCCAAATTGAAACATATCTTTATTTCAATATATCAGTCATAATCTGTTCAAGAAAAGTATAGACAACAACTTTTACTTTCTTTCATATTGTATGTGCAAAATAAAATGCAAACATCAAATTAAGATAAGCAAACAATCATTAACAATACTGCAAATTAAATAAACATCAATATAAAAGAATGAAAATTTAATTTTCACACAGATAGCTGCAGTTCGAAATTTTTATAAATTTTCTCGGTTACTGGCGCCGACGGCGGCTGTGTTTGTCAGAAGAAAATCGGCGGCGGCGACGACTGCATTGACCGATCGGCTTACACCTCTATATATAATTCTGATATTCATTCAAGTTTATTGTACTTTGAATTTGCAATAATATTATACATAAAAACTTATGGATAAACAAATAACTAAAATATCTGATCTTTATCGTGATATATGGTTTGAAATCTTTGCATATTTTTATGTTGATGAACTTTTTCATACATTTTTTAATGTATTAAATGATATTGATTCTATTCTCTTACACGATAACCAACTTCGTTCTCATGTTCGTATTGGTTATAGATCATCAACAAATATTCTTTTAAAAGTCAATCCAAATCAAGTCATATCGCTTTCAGTTGTCGAACTAGACAAAAATCAACTTAATATTAATAATATGATTTATCTTAAATCAATTATAATTAGAGGTTCAAATACTGATAAAGAAATTGAAGATTTATTAACACAAATGATTTTATTAAAAGAAATAAAGAATCTTTCAATTTCACTTTATTGTAATGATAGAGGTCCAGATTTACTAAATCTTGCATTACGTATACCTGGTTTAAAAACACTTTATATTGATGATACGAATTATTGGAAAATATATAATTATCCTACAGAAATAATACAATCACAATCTTTATCAATTGAAAATCTTTCTTTAAATTTTTATTGTCATCTTGAATATATACAAAGAATTTTATTAAATTTACCAAATATTCGAACTATTCGAGTAAAATTACATCGTAGTAAAAGAGGTTTTTCTGACAATCTAAATGATTTATTATTTAATTCAATTAAAAAAATTCATTTAACGATATTGGACGTATCATTTGATAGAATAATATTATTTGATAGAATAATATCATTTATTGAAAAAATGTCAAATATTAAAATCATAAAAATCAATGGACATATTATGGAAACACATGATATTGCATATTTTCAAAGTGAAAAATGGTTAAAATTATTAAACATAAATAATAAAAAGAAAAAAATTGATGTTAATTTATGTTTCACACGAAGTTTTCCTGGTTTATTAGAGAATAATACTGGTGTGAATATTTATGATGAGTTTAATAAGCTCGGCCTTCAACTTACTTCATCTACTATTAAAGGTGTTATTAATTTATAAGATACTTTTTTTTGTATTATGATTATTTGAACAAATATATATATAATAAATTCAATGGGCAACTAGAGTTTTTGATTCTTCTAGGAAGCATTGATCGTAGTAGTAGCTGGTGATATTGTGTATGTTATGCTAGAGAGTATGAACATTTCATTTTCACCTATAATTCGTAAATTGAGATAATTCGGTTATTTAGAAACAAAGCACTGTGTACTTTTCTGTTTTATTTAAATCATAGATGAATAGAATTTCAATAAGAATAGAACTTTACTGGATATAATCTCTTAACAAAGTGTTTTCTATTCGTAAAATTAAGTCGTATAAATTAATCAATAAACAGAAGAAATTACCTTCACTGTTTATGGTTGAAATTATATATTTAGAACTTTCGATTTCAGCCAATATGAAGAAAAGAAACGTGTTTAAAGATAATAACCATAGGATTATAATATATCTAAGATAAGAATATATAAAAATCTCTTTTAAATCAATCATCATGAGTAATAAAAATATTTGCTGCGATATAAAACATGCTCGTGTTTCATCCATAAGAGTCTATCGTATTTATATTTTAATGAAAATTTATTGTTCATGAATATCAGTCGGTATTTTATTTCTTATAATTGTAGAAATATTGATCTTTAAAAAATAAAACCGCCATTCAGCTGACAAATATAAATCTAATCATACGTTTCGCCTACGCATATTTTATGTTTTGTATATATATATATGTATATATCTAAACGCATGAATGATTTGTTGCTCCTACGATTAGGTATGTAGTTTATTTTTCTTACCGATTTTGTCTTCAACATTATACCACAAATAAAGTAAAAATGAGTCTCGAACAACGATTTTTATTCTATATAAACACGACGTCACTTATTTACATAGGTTAAATATCGATTTTTTTTTCTATTATTATTCGATATTTACATTTCTTTTTTTTTTGTACATTAAGATAAAAAATAATATTATATATATCAATGATATTTTATTGTATTTCTATAGTTTACCAACAATGATATCAATATTAAATTTATTTCAAAAATTAATCATTATAACATCTCTTCTTATATTTTGTTTATGTGAAAATCAAAATAAAATAATTGATTATGACAATCATCATAATACAGATGAAATGCTTGCTGCACTTAATTATGTACATGCAACATGTCCTGATATAACATATCTATATGATTTACCATTAAGAACTGATGAGGATCGTCCATTACGTGTTATTGTATTTTCTGATCATCCAAAACATCATGAAATACTTGAACCTGAATTTAAATATGTTGCAAATATGCATGGAAATGAAGTTGTTGGTCGAGAGTTATTATTAAAATTAGCTGAATATCTTTGTCAAGAATATAACAATGGTAATAAAGAAATCAAAAAATTAATTGAAAATACTCGTATTCATCTTCTTCCATCAATGAATCCTGGTAAGTTAATAATAAGAATAGAAAAAAGTAATTTCCTTCTCTCTCATAGATGGTTGGGAACATGCTGTTCAAAATACATGGAATAATACAGTCCCTGGGAAATATGGAAATGTTTCAACTATGATGAGAGTTAGATAATCGATTTGAAAAATAAAATTACGAAAATGTTTTATTATAGGAATATGGTGCAACTGATTGGCTTGTTGGTCGAAGCAATGCAAATGATGTTGATTTGAATCGAAATTTTCCTAATTTAGATGAATTTATTTATGAATATAATCATTTAGCTAATCATAAAAATAATCATCTAGATATTGAAACATTTCAAGCATTGATATCTGGAAAAGATTGTCATAATAAACCGGTAAGAAGAAAAAAACCAATAGAGTTCATATCAATTATTTTTATTTGGTAGTATCAAGTTGAAACTATAATAGTAGCTTTTTGGATTATGCGAAATCCATTTGTTTTATCTGCTAATTTACATAATGGTGATCTTGTTGCTAATTATCCTTATGATGATTCAGAATATCATACTCAAATGTATTCGAAAACACCAGATGATACATTATTTCGGTATATCGATATTTTTACTCTTTTAATTTCATTTGTTTTAAATACTATAGTCAACTGGCTGAATCATATTCGTATACACATTTAAGTATGCGATCACAAAAAAAACCTTGTAGTACAGATGTTTTTGAAAATGGAATTACCAATGGTGCAGCATGGTAAATAAATTTAAGAAAGAAAATATTATTCTATTGAAACTATTTTTATTCGTTAAGGTATCCAGTATGCGGTGGAATGCAAGATTTTAATTATTTAGCAAGTAATTGTTATGAACTAACACTTGAACTTGGTTGTAAAAAATTTCCACCTGGAAAAGAATTAACTTCACTTTGGAATCATAATCAAGGATCATTGGTTAATCTTATTTGGCAGGTAAATATTAATATATAATAGAAGAAGTTGTTTTTTTTTTCGGTTTATTTTATTTTTGTATTTTAGACTCATCTAGGTATTAAAGGGTTAATTCAAAATGAAGATGGAAAAATGATTTTTAATGCGACTATTAAAGTTTATCAAGCAGAGGGAGATAATTGGAAATATATTGATCATGATGTTACATCAAGTATGAAATTGTTTTATGAGAAATTTTATTTTATATTTTCATTGATAGATATTGGAGGTGATTATTATCGTTTACTTGTTGATGGTTCATATGCAGTTGAAGTTAGTTATCCTGGTTTTAAATCACAAACTCAACATGTTGATGTTAATTATAAATCACAACAAACTGATGCTCAACGACTTGATTTCATTCTTGAATCTGTTTCAAGTAAACGAAGTAATCTTCGAAAAATACTCAGAAATTTATTCAACAAAGTAAGAAGATAGTACCTTTTTTTTATCCTTATGTTTTTAAAAATCTTTATTATTTTTAGTATTAATTATTCAAAGAAAAAACAAAATAAAATAAATTATTCTTCTATTTATTTTTCTGACAATATACACAATTGGACAATATTCATCAACATAATAATATTTTATTATTATTAAAATTCATCTTTTTTCGAATTTATTGTTGTATGTAATAATGTCAATAAATGTGTATATTTAACAACCCGATTAATCGACTTATACTTGTTTAGTTATCGTTGAAAGAAATGATTCTAATTGTTCGGGCATTCATGCTTAGATTTGTAACTCTAATAGAATATCGAAAGTGATTTAACTGCTTGAATTTATACATCATCTTCTATAGGAAAACATCTCCTTAATCTGAAGTTGAACAACACTTTTACAGTCCTTTTTTTTAGTATACTTCTATTAGTAATACACTAACTATAAATATCACGAGAGCTATGTCATTTTGACTTTACCTTACGTCAAAAGCAACTAATTAATAATAATAATGATGAAAATGGTTGACTATGACGTAAATCATCTGAAAAATATTTATTTTGCTTGGCCCTATAACACTGGCAGATTTATAAGAAGGGTGCTGGTCGTTCAAAGATTCTCTCTTCGATTATTTTCAACATAAAAAGTCTAAAAATGGCTCGATACTATACGTAATGAAAGTTAGCAGCTGATTCGAGTTTTTCTTGCTGACATTCGCTCCTGAAGGTGTGCTGAATTTTAACTCTGTACCGATCACAACCAACTAGGGAGCCAGCACACCTTCAGGAGCGAATGTCAACAAGAAAAATTCGAATCGGCTGCTAACTTTCATTACGTAGAAGATGCACACACTCGTCGTCGAATTGATTTTCATGATATATTATTTACACGCTATATTTTCTAGATAAAATCGTCTCAACGGTCTTTCTTCAGTCTTTTTCGATGATATAAAGATTATTGTATCAATGACTTGGACAAACCCAGGACGATGATTCCTGAAGCAGGATTCCATGAATTTCCGGTAAAATCTCTGAAGAAACTCGCCATTCCCGGGAGGAACCCGCCAGGAGTTTGATGGAGAAGTAAGGTGACCGTATCCGGCTGCTGGTTTTGATATGTTCCTGTCGGTTCCGGCCCAAACCAAATAAATTTGGCCACCGGATCCGTTCAACGGGAATACTGCTTCCATAAAACCTCCGGAATGCCACGGAATCGGCCGTTTCCGTGCCGAATTGTTCGATCTGAGAATTAATTGTTATATGTCATTGGGTTTTACTCAAAAGTGAATGCGTGATTCATGATGGACAGGTAATATATCGATTAAATCATTTTTTTATTTTATTTTATTATTCAGGATAAAGAAACAATAAATTGGAACATGACATTGAAGAGAAAAATGGTGATCAATTATTGTTATCATGGAATTGTATTTGAAGCAACATTTAAACTTCATGATGATTTATATGTTGTTCAATTTAAAGTAAGTTTTGAAGAACATTTTATTATCATTAATGCTCTATTTTTGAATTTTTTTTTCAGCGTGGTGATAATGAATTATTGTTTCCACTTAATATTTATACAACTGTTTTCGATGAGTAAGTTATCAATATAGTTCTCCACATATCATTTTCTTTTTTTTCTAGCTTAGAAAAAAATGTAGCAGGTTTTCAAAATACTTTCAAAAGAGCATTTACATCGTTCATGAATGAATACAATTAAACTGATGGCAGCTACATACATGAGATTGGCATTTAATAATATTCACAAGATTTTTTTTATGATTTTGGGTTTTCATCTTTTTATGTCATCAGGTTTTGTATGATTAAATAAACCTTGTATTCTATTTATATATGAAGAGAAAATGTTATGATGCAGACAACATATTTGAAATCAGGAATATTTTCATAGACCACAATGCGTTTCTTTCTTTGCTTTTTAACAAATAGTTACATCAATGACTCGAAATGTATAATGATTAAAAAAGAAGGAAAAATTTCTTGTGAATAAAGCAGTGCTAACGTACACAAAGGTACTTATTTAAATAATCGTTCGAAAACAGATATACAGTCGAAAACAATTGAAATTATACCGTTTGATTCTTTTTGCTTTTTTATTACTGTACGCTTCTTATCTATTAGAGATAATTGGAGCAGGATGATATTTCTCATACCATTCACGTATTATTCATTTCAATTAACCTTTAGCAAATTACCGATCAATATGATAAAAGGAGGTAAGATGAAAAGCTAAATCTCAAGCAGCTACTCATGGATATTCTCATTTATCTGGTACAGAAAGAATATCTCAACAAGACGTAAAAGTCGAAGGTAATTCAATAAATTCTTAAGATTTCTATGAGAGAAGAAAAGGAAAAACTTACATATGACGCCATACAGTATTTTTAATAATTTTTTGTCGTCTATCCGAAAAAGCAGGCATAAAATATTTACCTTTCCCATCAAGCCAATCTTTGACAATAAAATGATAAAATTGTTTTGTATGTAAAAGTCCAGCATAAGCTTGTCAAATAATATTCTTTTTCATCATTTGTTAATTTTCCTTTACATTGATTCATAGAATTGTTCAGCTTCTTGTTTTCCTTGACAAAATATTTCATCGATTTCTTTCTTGATTGATTTTTGTTTGAAACATGACCATTATCAAGTAATTGATAAGATCGAAAATAAAATATTTTTAATGAATTATCTTTAACATTAAATTTATAATACAAAGCTGTTTTTATTCCATGATGTTCTGAATTATATAATTGGATTATTTGTATATTAGTTATTGGACTTAGGGAATGTTTTTATTAGTGAGAAAAACTAAATTAATCAAGCATTGAATAATTTAACTTAGCAAATAAATAGTAACCGTTATATAATGTATTAAGTGTATCTGTAAGAGTTTTTTGTATCTGTAATCTTTTGTATATGAGTTATTATTGTTATGAGTTTGTTTTTATTCAAAATGATAATAAAAATTGATCGTTAAGACACAATCAACTATATCAATAGAATAGTCAAATGACATAGCTCAACAAAGATACAATAATAGCAGAAACAAGAAGAAAATAATAATAGATATTTTCATATATAAAAGTACCTAAGATTCATTGATGATATTTTTTGGATAAATATTCTTCCCAAGTATTAGAAGATAATTGAATATTGTTACAAGTATTGTAACCTTTAGCAAATCCTTTCAGAATTTTACCCATGGCCGGCATATTAATCACCAATTTATTTTCGTGATGTGCCTTCATCAATGAGTCCAGTATTTCTTTCATGTTATATACACTTTTCCCACCAATATCATAAGTAGTATTTAATGGTGATCCTTGTATAATTTTATTTAATTCCATGGCAACTGCTTCGACTTGAATAGGTTGTGCTTTTAATGATTTTGGAATAATACGTATTGGACGTTGCAAAAATTCGCTTACAGCAGCATCAACAAAATCATGAAAATTTGTAGATCTTAATATAGTATATGGAATAGAACTTGTTTTAATCAAATGTTCACATTCTAATTTTCCTTTGTAATATGAAAATGGAATTTTATCAATTCCTACAACTGAAATATATACAAAATGTTTAATATTTTTTTTCTCAATAAAATTTAATAAATTCTTTGTTAAAATTATATCACCAGGTTGACCATTAATTTTTTGCATATTTACAGTTGCAATATGTAATATTGTATCTATATCATTATCTAAACATTTATTGAATCCTTCATTTTTCAATAAATCCAAATAAACCCATTTTGAATCTAAATTTGAATTAAAATTCATATTATTATAGGTTTTTGTGTTTTGATTTCGACTACCAACAATAAAATTTGTTTGATTTGAACGAAATATTTCCGATATTGCTCTTCCTAATACACCAGTACCGCCAGTAATTAATATTTTTGACATTGTTTCTAAGAACTTTGCAGTAATACAATTGAAAAAATAATATATAAGATTATAATATCTAAAAAAATAAAAATATTTGAAAATTTTATCTGACGAACATTTAACAATCATCTATTTATACATGTATAGAACTAGAAAACATGGGAGAGAAGTTAGAAAAACAAAAATGAAATGATAAGTAACAAAAGTAATATACACGTGTCGAAACTGAAAGAACGAGAATGACTGTGATAGTTAAGAATAGAAAGCGAACAAATAAATAATATTGTTTCAGCTAGATACAAATCAAATTCCAATTGCTGGCAAATTCATGTTTAGATTTGTAACTGTAAGGAATATCGAACATCATCAAACTGCTGGAATTTATACATCATCTTCCATAGGAAAACATCTGTTTAATTTGAACTTGAGCATTATTTCCATAGGCCTAATTTTTAATATACCTCTATTAGTAATACACTAACAATGTATTTTCTTTATTTCTCATTGACTATGAATATCACGAGATCTATATCATTTTGACTTTGCCTTACATTAAAAGCAACTAATTAATAATAATAATAATGATGAAAACGGTTGACTATAACGTAAATTATCTGAAAAAAAGAAGTTTTGCTTGGTTCTATAACACGAGCGGATTCAGAAGAAGCATGCTGATCGCTTAAAGATTCTCTCTTCGATTATTTTCAGCAGGAAAAGTCTAAAAATAGCTCGATACTATCTTGGTCGAAGTTCAAAATAGGTTTTCTTATTAGAATCAAAGTTTTTTTTTTTAATTTTCAATTTAAGCACGTTCAAGTAAAAGAGCATGAACAAAAGAAGAAATAACCTCTGGTTACTTTTGAACTGATAGAGAAACTTATCTTCTTTAAACTATCGTTTATTTTGTGATGAAATACGTGACATCACTCATGGATGAACACCTCTAAATAATGATTACTTTTCAAAAGTCCCGAAGGCATTCACCTACCAGAGATTTTACTGTACACATATGATGTTCAAATAGAAATTTTTCAATATTTAATACAAACTAAAACTATTTAGACGTAGTATAAATCTAGTTCCGACATTTATTTCTTCTTATAACAATGCGTTTAAAAAAGCATATCATTCGTTTTAATAGTATTTTAAATGAAATTTATATGAATAAACTTCTAGAATAGCTCTTGTCTGTCATAAATTCACTCAATAATAAAAGGAATACTTTATGTCGCTTGTCTAATCAAGTGGTATGATTCAATCACTTGCAAATAGCAACATATTTTTTTTTGTCTATAGATGTTACGAACAAGGTATAAAAGTTTTCATTGATAATGAATGGCTAAAAAGTGATTTATTATATCTATAGAAGAGGCATCAGTTTGTTAATGAAGATTAGATGACAAATGAGATGTTATCGTGTACAATCGGTCAGAAACAATGAATAGGAAAAAGAATTCAATGTCTAATCGATTCAATGCCTTGCTCTCTTTCTTTCCTTTATTCATTCTCTGTCTCACAATGAGAATATATATATAGTAAAAAAAAAAAGAAATGACCGTCTCAACTATATATATACACATGTATCCAACACTTGAACTGTTTGATCATATGTATAGTTTCATATACAACTAGACAGACAGACAGACAAAAGCGTATAAACGGTTATTTGAACATGTTGTTGTTCTTCTTATTAACTTGGTGGTCATGGGGATTAATATTCATTTCTATTTCCAATACTAATGCTTATTGTCCAAATGATGAAGATCTTCAACAACATCATTGTACATGTAATATAATTCATAGTTATATTCAATGTTCATCATTACCAAAACAATGCCGTACTTGTTATCTGTACAATACAATATTCTTTGATGAATATGTTAATATATTATCAGCAGAATCATTTCGTTATTATGATTTATTTGATTATGATAGTAATAGATCATTTACTATACAGTTTGCTCAATTAAATAAACTTTCATCAAATGCATTTTCAAAAATTGATATGGATAGTGATCGAACACTATCAATTAAAATAGCTAAATATACATCATCAATAATTCCAGCAAGATTATTTGATGAAATAGAAATTCAATCACGATCAAAATTAAATATTGAAATATTTAATGTAACATCATCGTTATTAGTCATTGAATCATATGCATTTCATGGTATTAAACTTGGTTTTGAAAGTATATTTCGATTTTCTATACTTTCTATGAAAGATACAATTGAATTTCAGGCAAATGCTGGTAAGATTTATTTTATATTTTATAATTATTTGTTTCTTTTTGTTCAATTGATAAGGTTCATTTTATATCCCAGCTTATTCAACAATGGAATTTTATTTTTCAAATTTTGTTTATGCATCATTAAATGATCATAGTTTTAATCATATAACTCAAGCACATTCAAGTAATTTACAAATAAATTTCAATTATTTTCATTCTGCATCAATTGGTTATGCATCTTTTTATGAATATCATCAACTTGATGAATCACAATTTCATTTAATCTTTTCAAATTTTCAAGATTTAACTATTGAACCAAAGCTATTCCATACAGTAACTCAATGTAAATATAAATTTTCTTATTAAAAAAAAAAGGATAACAAATTTTTATTTTTGTTAATTTAGTAAAATCTTCAATAACATTTTCTCTATATAATATAACAAATGATTTATGTTTACCATCTGAAACATTTAGTCAAATAAAACAAGATTTTAATTCAACATTTCAATTTGAAATTGATTATGGAAAAGATGTTTTATTTACTCCAAAGACATTTTTTAATATTAGTCAATTTGCACAATCAAAATTATCGATTATTCTAAGAAATTCTTATGATGTTTATTTTATGAATCAATCAATAAAAAATATTCATCAACAAGAACAATCATTACTTGATATTTGGATAAAATATGGAAGAAATTTGATATTTCAAGAGAATTCTATTCAAAATATTGATATTCAACATTCAAGTATAATGCGAATTGGTTATCAATATTCATATGGAACATTACAAATGGATTTAAATGCTTTTGCTAATATTAATGAAGGTAATTATCAGATTTTTTAATTTCATTAACTTCGGCTAATCTATGCTAAATACTTGAAGACCAACTACCGTGAAATGAAAACGAACGAGTTGTTAGAAAAGATGCGGAACCACCATAAATATTTTTTGAAGATTTTCAAGCGGCGCCTAGTCACTTGAATTTTTTTATCGGGATCCATGAAGTGCCGTTCATTTACTTAATGGAGCGAATTTATTACTAACAGGGACGTTTCCAGAAGGGGATACAGGGCGAACAGTTTTCAGAAATTTGTAGTAAACTTTTCTGTGATGGCCTTTCCTGCAAAATCGTCCATCCCTCCTACTCCTCTGAATAATGCGAAAAATTCGTATTAAATTATTAGAATAAAAAATAACAAAATTTTCTTTTTAAAATAGGTCGAGGTGGAGAATTATTATTTCAAATAATGAATTCATCAGATTTTTCTCTTCGTTTTAATCAATCAATCATATTAGAACAATTAGAAATTGTTGATCGAATATTAACTGATCAAGATTTATGTCGAATTATTGATATACCATCACATATACCAGTTAAACTTTTAAATGAAAATTTATGTTCATGTTCAGTATTTTATTTATATCGACATCTTCGTCATTCATTAAATCCATTGATTTTAAAAGATTTAACACCCTTATGTTATATTAATTTACCTCTTGATGAAATTGAACAAGAAGAAAATAAATGTCTATTTGATAAACAAATTTCTTATTGTCATCAAATGCAAAAACAAAATAATATTGAAACTCCAAATGGAAAATGTTCGAAAAAATCTTTAGTAATTTCCAATACACAACATAATTCAGTATCATACTTATCATTAATATCTATTTTTATATGTATTATCTTTGGTTTATTAAGTATTTATATTCTTAAAAAACGTCAAAGATATTTATTCATATCGAATATATTCAATAAATTTTCTTTTTATTATCATCATCATCATCATCAAAAATTACCTTTATTTACTGATGATTCTTATCAACAATTAACATCTATGAATGAAAATAATTCTGATGATAATTTCAATCAAGAAGATTTATCAAATAAAATGATGCAAATTGTTATGAAATATGATTCAACAACAAAACAAACACAGCCATTTATTCAAACTGATAAATCAGATTTTATCGTATCAAATTATATTGAAAATCAACAAAATGAACATACGACGTTGAAATTAAATACAAATCCTTTAAGTGACATTGAGGATAAACAATAGTTTGTAGATATTAGAAAATTTTTTTAATTTAAATTCTAAAATATGTTTGAAAGAAATTGAAATTCAATGTAATAAATAAATAAATAAATAAATAAATAATGAATTTTGTATTTACTATTTCAAATAACACAATTTACTTTACAATCTAAAATTCTACAAATTGCAATAACTGTATAAGAAAAATTTAATGAAATGATGATTTTTATTTTTCTTAATGATTGACAGTGAATTTAGAGGTTCATTTCATAAAAGATATCACTCACGTGACAACGGTCATTCGTTCATATATGTCATCCGTCATAGCTGAGTGATTTTTATCTTCTCTCTCTCTCCCTTTATCTATAGAAAATGACAAAGATGATTCAGATCAAGTAAATCTATCTAGATGTCGCTTAGAAATTTAATCATTTCTATTGGGAAAATCAGATTTAGGAAAACTATGATTATTCATCGAAAGATATCAGTTAGTAATCTTTATCTAATTCAATTATATACACATTTCAATGATAGATATGATAATAGACGATTATATTCTTGATGATTCACTTTTCAAACATATTCATCTCTATCTATTCTATCTATATGTGACGTTCTTTGTTTGTTTAATATCTCTATTCAGGTACGTCAATAGCATATTAATAAACATTTATCGTAATATCGTTCGTTTGCATTTTAAACAGAAGATTTATTAATCCATGAAAATTATTTTATTTATTTTATAGATAAAAAAAAAGATGATCGCATCTCTGGGTCATTGTGAAGATCTTGAATGTGCTCGATCACCATCAAATCAAGCTTTAGTTCGATTGTTTCGTTGTTCAATTCATTGTGATCGTTTATTATGTTTAAATCATTTAAATAAACATAATGTTTATTATGAAGAACAAAAAAAAGAAAATGAAGCTGTACGTAATGAACTTGAAAGTAGTTTAGCATTATATCACGCATTATTTGAACAACATTTGACGCTATACAGAGATCTTGTTCGCCAAGCATCAGCATTAATATTCCAAAATACAACAGCATTAGTTCCTATTGAACAAATACGTCCTGTTTTAGAAAATATTCAAAAAGCTATTGCATTTTTTCAACAAGAAAGAGGTTAATTTACTATAAAAGTTTATTTATATATTGATGATAATTTTTCTTTTTAGTTATTATTAAAAGTGAATCACCATTAGATTCAACGGGATATGATATCGATAAAGTTGGTTCGTCGCTAGAAAAAGATTTTCCACTTATAAAAAAAGAACAAGGTAAAATTTATTTAAAAGATAAAATGAAAAATTGAACGATTATTATTATGTAGATACTCCAGTAAAACTTCGTCCAATATTACGAATTGAACGCGTAGATTTGAATAAAGAGTAAAAAAGTTAATTTAAGAAAAATTTATTTTTTATTTATTTTATTTTATAAGAATTCTTTGTGATCATATACTACATGATGAAAATAAAAATAGAAGTATATTTTCATAAAAATAAGTTCAATTTTTAATATTTTTTCTTATTTAGATCAAAAACATCATGACTCTACACATAGAAGTTTAATTGAAGAAAGCCTTGGAAAATCAAAAGATTCCACTGATAATATTACTATTGATTCAATCAGGTAAAATATATTATTTGAATCCTCCTATAGATATTTTGAATTAAATCGAGTTTCTAAGTTTAACTGATCAGTGGTTTTTTTACTTTGGAATATAGAAATTCTACATCTAGTCATTGATATGATATACACCAACAGATTGATCTCTAAAAATATTAAAATCTAGTAACTTTCGTAGTGTATAATTTATTTTCTGGAATTTCAATTATTTCTATAGGACAGTGCATCTTTTGTTGAACTCGTCTAGTTGAAGTATCACCGTTCCAGTTATTTACATATGTCAGCGTCCAATGTCGGATTGAAGAAAACTGCTCATAACTCTTTGACTTTGAAATTAACTTTTTTATTGCTGATTGTAAGACCAAGACGCTTAACGCCCCTACCCTCAACACCTCGGTACGCCCCTGACAATCTATCTTATGCAAAGCATTTAAATTCCATTAATATATTTTAGGCTAATTCTCTATTTCATAAAGCTACTAACTAAGACAATCCTTTTCACTAATGTAAGGCTTCCTACTATTTAGAACAGTTTCAATTTTATTTTCCTATAAGATAAAACATATTAAAAACTTTGAATTTATTCTAAATAAGAAAATCAAAATTAATTGAAAGTTTTTCATATTTATTTTTAGTAGTATCGCTGATGAAGATGCATCCATGATATCGAAATTAAGAAAATCAACGGAAGAAAATCATCAATCTCATACATCATCACCTGGTGGACTTAAGAAGAAAAAGAGCGACGGAGTAAAAAAGAAAAGTGAAAAAGTAAATAAAATCTTTTTGTTTTTAATCAGTAATAAATATTTCCTATTTATTTAGACAGTTACAGTAAAACGATTACAAACATGAACTTTCTTTTCTTTCTGTTTTTTAATTCTTGGTTCTGAATGTTTCTGATACGTAGGTGATCTTGTATGATAACTGAGTTTATATAAAACGAAAGATTAAATTTTGTATTTATTCTTTGTATAATGGCTTTTTTCATTTTGTTGTAAATACATGTGTTAGATAGTTTTCCTTTTGTTAAAAGAATGATGAAAAGTATGAATGAAAACTTTCGTCTATTGATTGAATTGTTCAAGGGTTTTTTTTTCTTGCCATAGAGTTTTTCTGAATATATGTTTATTAAATACTATAACTGAATCTTTTCATTAAATAAATAAATGAGAATTGTCTCAAAAAATTTAAGAACATGAATTTTTTTATTTGGAAATAATAGATTATTGAAGTTTGTAATGATATATCATTTTTAAGCTGAGATTAGAAAAAAATCTATAATATGATTTGTCTCCTTGAGCCTTTTCTTTTACATTACAGTTATTAGATTTGATTTTTTTAATCTGATATAGTCCACACGAAATGTATCGGAGAAGTTTTATGCATAAAAATATTCGAGATAAAGGGTGTTTCGCTAGTTCTGAAGTACGTTTAAAATGTTTCGTTCTCGTGTTTAACAAAAGCAAACTCTTTGAAACTTTTACAGATTATTGTACCTGACTTGTCGTATATAAGTGCAAAGTTTTAGGTCTGTAGCTTTTACTACGAATGAGAACCATCAGTAACATTATCACGAGCATTTTTCTGTATTTTGGCTGTTAGAATGTCTATATCTCGGCTTAGGTAGATGATAAAATCTTGAA